ATAATCCTTCGTTTTAGCATTGTCTATACATCCGCAATATGAACTCTATAGCCTAAAAGTCTCCTAGAAATTTGAAAAAAAAAGAGATTGGAGAGTCATAATGAACTGAATTCAGGAATCATTAGAGTCCCTAACCAGACAAGGGAGGACAGTCCTCTATAGTGAGAACCGTCCGGCTCCAGAAAACTTTAGTAATACCCCTCTTTTTGGACTATTCCACACTGGGGTGCTCCCCACCCCCACGCCGACTTGAGCGATTCCAAGTTGGTACGCTAGTTTTCAACTAATGCAAATTAAGCCCATGAAAATAGAAAAAAATCGTGTAGAGGTGGTCATTAGCTAGAGAATTATCAAAAAGCAAAAATACATCACAAAATCAAAGATGTGTTAGGTTCAAAATTTCAAAAGTCAAAAAGTTTTGAAATGTCCCTGATGACCGAGTTCCCTTCAAACCACGATCATGCTACATTTTCAGTGGGCTTTTGGTTAGGGATTGCGATCCTTCTAAGATAGGGATCGAATTCCCACTATGGGGGGAGTGAGCTCTACCCCGGCTCCGGCTCGAGCTCCGGCACTGGTTCTGGTTCCAGCTCCAGCTCCAGCTCCAACTCCAACTCTTGGATTGTTGGGGTAAGATTCCAAGGGGGGATCATTACCCTGCGAAAAACCTCCTCGCATCTGTGGTTTGGAGATGCAGTTACGTGCACCAGGTAAGATTGTAGGATTATGTGGTTCTTTTACAAATGAGTATGCATAAGAGTGGAAAAAGGTCTGTGGACAATGCAAAAGGTTGGCCATAAACTATAATTCTTACATCATATTTATTGGTTAGAAAGTCCTTTCAAAATATTTGTAATGCAACGCCTAGACAGATTTTGTACTCTACGGTTTTACGATGCAAAGAAATTGTAGAAAATAGGGTTTCATTAGAATATATATGAGATATGGCTGCATGTTTGCAATCTTTGCATAAATAGCAATTGCATGTATGTCCTTGAATTACAATGATGCTCCCAATGCTACAATACATATATATTCCAAACCACGTACAACACTATCTTCTACACTCCCCCTCAAGTTGGTGCATCGATGTCAAGCATACCCAACTTGGAACTATGCGAATTGTTTTGTTAAAGACATCTTCTATGTGATCTTCAGTCTTCATAAATGGATTACATATAAGCTCACCAATCCTTTTTTTTTTTTTCAAGATCTTAGTGATAGCTTTCATATATGCAGATCAGGGGTGTATGCAGGAATTGACTGACAAGACCTGTAACATGAGTATATTAGGTCTCGTAAGTGTCGAATAAATGAGTTCCGCAACAAGTCTTAGATCGAATTATACATGTTCCAAAGGAGTACCAGAAATGAGTCCCAACTAAATGTTAGGATCTATGAATGAGTCATAAGTTTCAATCGAATCTTTCAAGTTTCATTAAGTAGACCAAGAACATATTTACACTGAGAAATAAAGACCCCTAATTGTTATACTGCACTTACTGAATCCCAGAAAAGTATTTGAGGGAGCCCAACTTCCTCGATGTCAAACTTAAAATGTGGGTATCACTTGGGACTTGCAGTTATCTCCTTGTGATCGCCCATGAGGACAATGTCTTCAGATGGATAATAGTATCTTGAGATCGTCATTTAAGAAACATTTAGTAGTCATCACTGCTCGTACAAAACCCAATACTTTGCAAGGCACTGCTAAACTTATCAAACCATGCCATGAGTGTTGAAACACATATAATGCTCTATGAAGCCAGCAAACCAGATGTTTCAGGTTGTGGGTTTTGAGGGTGTAGGCAAACCCTTCTTCCTCCAAATCAACATGAAGGAATTCTTTGACCTGTAGTTGATAAGGGTCACTCTTGATTGGCTGCAACATATTGTAGAATACTAATTACTGCCCAAAAGGAAAAAAATTATCAAGATAACTTTAGAATAGTGATAGAACTCCTTTTAAGAAACATTCAGTACTTCAGCACTTACTTCTACAAAATTTAATACTTTGCGAGGCACTGTTTAACTTATCAAACGTGCCCTAAGTGATTGTTTCAACCCATATAATGCTTTATGATCCGGCAAACCAGTAGGTGTGGGCTCTGATGGTGTAGACAGACACTATATGTATTCCATCCAAATCATCATGAAAGAAGACACTCTTGACATCTAGTGATGTGAGGGCCAAATTTGATTGGCTGCAAAATTGTAGAACACGAACAAAACCCATTTTGGCTAAAGGTGCAAACATTTCATGATAATCTACATGTGATAATCTACACCATGAGGTTGGGCGAATCCCTTAGCTACCGAACATGCCTTTAACATTCAGTGTCCTCACTTTGTCTATATTTAAGCTTGTACACCAACAACAAGCAACAACCTTCTTGTTATGTAGGAAGTTTCATGAGGTCTCACATTGATTTTTTAGTCAATGCTTGCATTTCCTCTTCTATGGCTTCCCTCCACTTGGGATTTATTACAACCTCCTGAAATGTCCTGGGTTCAAATTGGAAATCCAAGGAAGCAATGAAAGAATGATATAGAGAAGAGAAAGCAATGTAGGATGCATAACATTGAATAGGTTGGGGGTTGTACTTTCCTTTATGAATAGCAATAGGTGGAGAAAAGGAGGAAATAGCTTTTGGGATCAAGCAGTATATGAAGCTTTGTAGGTGAGCAAATCAAGTAATGGCTATTGATTGCTCTCATTCCCTTTGCCTTCTTGAGGAGGTGAGTATTGGTGGTTGTTCTCGGACACACCCAAGTGAAGGACTAGATTCCGATGCAGAGAATTTTGGAGTGTCTGAATAGAGGGAGGTGAACTTGACGAAGGTATGGAGACATATGGAGTGGGTTGATTGGGACAGGTGATAATATATGCTCCATCAAAGGGTTCCCAGTGTGCGTCATCCCTTGAAATATAGCCTACAAGTTCAAAAAGCTAAAATTTCGTGAAACATGATGCCTTTTTTCCTTGAATCATATAGGAGAGTACCTAAAAAGCAGTCAAACAATTCTGGCATCCAACTTGTTGACACAAGGTAGATGTCTTATTAATTTTTCGTAATGGCAAGCATAATTAAGAATTGAGGTAGGACATGGTTTATGAGATATGATGCCAAATGAACAGCATCATCTTCTTTTTTTTTTGATACTGTTAACAGCTTTATTGCATGAACTAGTAAGGTACAAGAGCATGGTCATTCAAAACGGGACCAAGACCAAAAAGCAACAAAAGGGCGGCCTCCAACGAGGCCAAAGACAAAAAAAAAATGGAATATAAAACACATAAGGAGCAGCACCAATAACACCTCCCAATCTAGCTACAAGCCTTCCACAGATGGTGTTATCCCCACTCCTTTTGCAAGGGAATCCTCCAGAGCATTGCTATCGCACCAAACGTGACTCCAAGACGCACCAAACGTGCCTTCAAGATATCGAGATGGTCGAGTAAAGATGGGCAATTTCTTAACAGCATCATCTTCAGCGTCATCATTATAGCCTTTTCCCAATTAATTGGGGTCGGCTACACAAATCCTGGTTTTTCATTTTGCTCTATTAAAGGTCATACCCTCAATGAGGCCATAAGTCCCCACATCTTTTTAGACTATTTCCATCCACATCCTTTTGGGCTTACCCTTTGCCCTTTTCAATCCTTCCACTTGAACTAACTCGCACCTTTGAATAGGTGTTGTATTTGGTCGATGCCACACATGGGCACCCACCTAAGTCTACTTTCTCTCATCTTATCGCCTGTTGATGCCACTCTTAAATTCTCCTGAATGGATTCATTTCAAATTCTGTCCCTTCTTGTCTTGCCACTCATCCATCTCAACATCCTTACTAATAAATCTTGGGAACATGCATATTCATATTAAATGATCTGGTAACTTCCAAACAATGGTGATGCTTCCTTTTTGCAATACCATTTTGTTGTCGTGTTGTAGGACATGAGATTTGATGTAGAATTCATTTTCCTAAAAGGATTTGACATATGTCTATTCATAGACTTTTGGTATCAAATTTGCTAACAATCATATTATTATACTGCTTAAATATTTATAACGCTTGATCTTTGGATGAGATAATTTCCAGGAACTTTAGAAACATCATCAATAAATAAAAAGAATGAGAGCCAAAAGCAGAACTGGTGCTGGACCGCAAACATCAGAATATATTAGAGAATATAACATGGTTTTATTAGATGAAAAACTCATGACATTGTTTTGAGACTCCACACACCTCACAAACATTGGTGAGGGAGCCTTATTGAAATTATAGAGTCCATTTTTCTCAAAAGTTTTCCCAGTTGTATTCCCAGTCTCACATCCTGAAAAAGCAGGATAAAAGTTTAGTTTTGGTGATACAAGTAATAGACAACAAGTTTGCTTAAAAAGGAACACGAAGAACATGAGACAGGATAATTAGGAAGTGAGAGCAATGCTCCTAGTTCCATGAATTGGTGAGTTGGAGCCATCAGCTAAGGAGACATAATTTAATGAGAGAAATTTTCAAAATGCATCGTTTGAGGAGTAATTACCTATTATATGCTCAGAGGCTCCATAATCCACATTCCCAGGGCTAGATTCGGAGGCAACGAGAGAATGATAGGTGCCTGCGTTATGGGAGGAGGGAAGGGATACATGCTCCTTCTAGGAGAACAGCTGAAGTTATCCTTTCCACTGACAGTTCTAGGCCATTGTGGGTCACTAACTATGCCGTAGGTTGCCTGCAAGATACACTGTAGACCTGCCATGGACTTCCTTTTTTGTGACACTATATTGCTGTATGTGGAACGTGGTCTCTCGGGGTTAGCAGAACACATCTATGTCCTGTCCCTTCAGGTGTTATTCTGATTAGCTGGCAATGTGGAATGCTCATGGATTACTTGACCAGATAGCATGTGTTCGCTTATCTGTTAGCAAAAGATGATAAACAGTGGAATGGAAGGTAATTTCTCACAGTCAAGGATGTGGATCCCAACATTCTTATAATTAGTCCTCCTAGCAACTCATGGGTCCTCCACTTCTTGATCTTGGCAACATTTTTGTCAAGCCATGCAGGACACTTTGCATGGGGGAGGGTAATAGTGACTTCTCCACATACCACATAAGGTGTTTTAATATGCAGCTACTTAATGATTGCCCTTCTTGCAATTTGCTATCTTCGTAATACTGGAATTTGTACTGTTATCATGGCAAGAACACTGCTCTTCTACTACATCCCAGATTTCTTTTCCTGTACTAAGAAGCATTAGTGCATCCCTAAGCCACGTTATTACAATAGCATCATTGGCATAGTGTCAATTATATCCCAGGTCTGTTTAGCTAGGTGATTTTGAAGACCCGTGAATGTGACTCAATATTTATCTTCCAAGCAAGAGCATTTACCGGAGTTGAGGATGTCTTCAATCTCACCTGGGTGATATCATCTTAACAGCCCTTCTGGCTTCTGTGATTTGAATGAAGTAGAGCCAAAGTTTTGCTAACAGGCATCAGGCTAATACCATGATAATAGCTATCATTGGTTATCGAAAGGGGTCCATGTACGTCATTGCTTGGGTTTCTAAACAACCGCAATATCCATGCTCACAAATTTCATAAATGAAGTGTTCGATAGATGTACAGACAGGAATATAGTATAGATACACGCTTAGCTGGAAGCAATTCCTTGCCAGAGAAGGGGTCCAGAGAATTTCTTTATCAATCACAAACATAGCTCGATAAAGCTGATTTTGTTCCTTCTTTGCTTGTAGCCATTTTGGTACATGGCTATGAATTTTGCAAATGGAGACAATTTACAAACAAATAAATAATGTCTGTTGATTATTAGGGGAAAAAAAAACGAAATTAAGAAGAAACACTTCAAATCTGACACCCAATACTTCAATATGGGTATCAAAATGCTCGGCTTGATGAGTCAACTAAAAGTTTCCAAGAAATTTGTGAATCTAACGCATCTGCATGGATGTCGCCAACACCACATGTACTTGATCTTCCTCTACGATTCATGGCAGGATGAACAGCTTATATGGGCTTCTCTGCTTTGATTCCATGTAAAGCCTAGTCAGATTTGTTATTCTAGGGTTTTACAGTGCAGAGAAAAGTGAAAGATTGTATAAACTGGAAAAAGGGATGAAGTCATAGTTCATTAGAAATAGTTCATTAGAATATATATGAGATATGATTACACTTATAGTAATTGCGTATCTGTCCTTGGACTACAATGACACTCAGTGCTACAGTACACAGTATACTCCACAAACCATTTATAATACCATCTTCCACACATATGCAAGATGCTTGTCATTTATATTTCCATCTTCCGCACATATGCAAGATACTTGTTCTGTATTGTGACATTTTTTAATTCTCTCTCCTTGTATATTGTTATATGCTATGTGCTTAACTTTTATGTTAAAAGTTTCATGTTACAACATTTGGTTCTGCAGGCCTGTGCTGTGGCCTTTCTTCTCAGCACCCCAGTTGGGCTGAGTTCACACCTTCGCAGACCAGAATATGCTTTCATTTTGTTACTTATATCAGATTTTGAATGACTTTTATGAATGTCTATCATTTGTCTCAATGTTAAGCTGAAGGGTTTGGACGTAATTGGACCAAATGGTACTTAGCTTTAGGAAAGTTCTAGTGAGGGGTAAGGGAAATGCTAGAATGGCTGTCAAAATGTTGTGATTGGGAATTTATTTGAGCTAGTATTCTGATTAGAGAAAAAAATAAATGAAGAATAGTAAGACACTGTAGCATTGGTGAAAGTGTGCTGGCAGCTTTATCCTTCATGATAGGCATTAGCTAATACTTGGAGGAACGCAATCCATACACAAGTGTCTTAAGAGTCACTGCACGGCCATGATTGAGTGCGAACTTTAATGGCTAAGCGATTGAAAAGTAAGTTTACCAATTTGAAATGAGATGTAACCTTTAGCACTTTTGCTCAAATGAATAGACGAAGCTACTGAAACGGCCATCACACTGTCTAAAGGGATAAAAGTTCAAACATTTTGAGTGTCACAAGTTGCCATTGTACCGCATGAAATGTCCATTCTTTAGCCAATCCATTTTTCTTACTCTGTATGTTTTCATTTTTGTTAGTTTGGATGTCATTCAAATGGAGCTGATTTGCATACTTTATACAATTGACTTTGTTGTCTAGTAGACTAAGATACTGAAAAATCCATCACACTCTGAGATCATGGGATTAATTCTTCTTGTCTCCTACAGTTTACATCATTTGGACATCTGTAATTATTTTGACTTCTTGGAACATTCATAATGTTCTGTTTCCTTTTATCTCGTTTGTTAGTGATGCTACCATGCATGCATTCAAACGTTTTACTTCGTTTAGTAAAAGCAATCCTGCCTGCATGTGTAACATGTTTTAAAGTTTCAAATGCATCTTCCTGGAGGCCTACTAAGGAAAAACGCGGGAAATAAAACTTTAATGGGGTTGTAACTGTAGGTTTTATGTCACCTTCTGTCTGTTTCCAATATTGATTGTAAATTCTAGGGTATTCTGACTAACTTGGTAATTGATTATTTTCTGTTTTACACGCTCTGGTTATGGAATATTAGTGATGGTGACCAAAGGCATGCTTGCTCAAAGGAAGGTAAAGATATAATGGAGATAATTGCTGCCACTGGAAAATATTGGTAAGTGGTTTCTGAGTTGGGTTTAGGTTTTAATATTTTGTTTCCATGTAGAATTTTAGTGTATTTATTCAATATTGTCATGTGTGCATTACTTAATCGCGAAGTTCAGCTGGCCTTTGGTTTCTTCAATCAATTAAAGTGATCACATAATCAAATAAAGTTCAATTGGCCATATAATCAATTTTTTTTGATCTACTGGAGTCATGTAATTTACTTTAGGGTAGTCCTAGTTTCCTAACTGTTGATAATAAACTTATTTGCATTGAATTTATTTAGAATGAAAAAGAGAATTGATGCTTGCTGCCTTATTTAGGTTCATTGGCTTTAATTGATCACTAAATTTGTTGCATCTTTGTTTTTTATTTGGGTGGTGTTTTTCTTTTGTCCAAAGAAAGTCATTGTTTCTTCAGCTTCTCAAATCATATTGGACAAATCAGTTATCTTGGAAACATCTCGCATTCCTTTTGATAACAAGCCATTTTTTTGGAAATGATAATAAAGTGGCTGATATAGTGATCATGCATAATCATCAAAGACGATGACATTTGTGTGAGTAATTGGGAGAGAAAGCAATGGGTTGCTCCCACTTTGATTCAACTAAGGATTTGCCTTTATATATTATTGTGCTCTACATAATGATGTAAAGCTAAATGTACGAGAATATTTCTTTCAAAGAAATTTATGCTATATCCCCCCAAAAAATAGAAATGTCCTTCATTTTTTGAATTTTATGTTTGTACCCCTTTTTTATTTTTCTCAACATGTCACGACTTCGGACCTTGAAGGTCGGAAGTGATAACAAAATTCTTAACTTTGGATCTTGAATATCCATAGTGAAGTTAGAGTTAGGGGTGGCAATGGACTGGGACCCACTGGGTATAGCCGACACAGGTCTGGTATGGCTCTAGCATTTGGACCCGGCGGGTCAGGTCCAAGTCCAAAACTTGTACCCGAACACTATATGGGTCATGGTTCTAGCTGTACCCGACCCGTACCCGTAAACTGTTAAAGATAAAATACTTTACTTTAAGCCTTGTTCATTTGGGTGTATTAAGGATCTCATATAACTAGAACTAGCAGTCTTCTTAAACTATTAAACGACAAATCACACACCTTGAAATCTAATAGTGGATGATTGTGACCTTGTTGCCAATAATACGGGTATATGATGGTAAAAAACAGAGCAAAACAAAAAGGGAAAAAAAAAGCTCATAGTGAGGGTGACAATGGGCCCGAGACCTGATGGGGTAGATCTGAGGCCCGACGGGTACAGGTATGGGTGCAATTTTTGGACCTGACGGGCCGGACCCAACCCGTTGCCAGCTCTAGTTAGAGTCTTGACTAGACCATGAAGGTCTGAAGCCAATGTAAAAAAAAAATTCTTCATGACTCATTTTTACTCCGGACCTTCAAAGTCCAAAGTCAGTAAAAGATGATGAGAAAGATCTATCAATGTTAAATACAAAAAATGGAAGGGATTTCAAGAATTATGAACTTTTGGGGGGACACAATCATAAATTTCTCTTTCTTTTACTACCACTTTACCTAAAAAACAAGAGAGAGAGAGAGAGAGAGAGAGAGAGAGAGAGAGAGAGAGAGAATATACCAATGATATGAGAGGGAGTAAATTTATCATGATATGAGAGAGATGAAGTGTAAATATATCAACGATATGAGAGACCTAGTAACATATATCAATGATATTCCCTTTTGTGTTCTTTCTTCCTGTCAATGTAGCTTTTCTTCCTTTTGTACGAAGCATTATTCAGCAACATATTTCATATTTGGAGAAGGAGCTTCAGATGATGTTATATTTATGAACATAATCCTTGTATAGTGCTATACAATTATTTATTCTTGTCATAGTAATGTTTTGTACTTACATTTTCAGGCATGACTGGGACACATTGAAACACTTGCTCTCATTTCATCTGAAACAGGTACGTCGAGGTATTCTATCATATAAAGTTTGTTAGCTTTTTTGTGTTTTTCAATGTTGATAGCAATTTCACTAAAGCATTTGGTAATCCGGTCGGCTCCCTTGAACTGGATAATCTGTGATCTATGTTAAACATTAATTTCTTTGAAGGTCTTGGCTGAGTACCCTGAGGCACATATGGCTAATGATATCGGTCCTCGACCAAGCTCTTCATTACTAGAGCCTTACCCAGACTTGGTGAAAAGATTGGATGAAGGTAATACCAGAGGTCTACCCCCTTTATTGAACTGCTTCACCTGATTTCTTATGTACTCAGAGAAATCTTAGTTTCAGTTACTTATGGTGCTGTCCCCTCCAATTCATGAGCAGACATGAATAAAATGATTGAGTCAAACAGACATTGTCTGTCGTTGTCAGGATGCTATATGATGTCTCTTTGTTATTCTGTTCGTTTAGCTGGAAAATTTGTTGCATTTTCAATTGTGGTCTAGATATATTGTGTCTGATCAGAATCAGAACTTTCCGATATATTACTGGTTGTAGAGAACTTTTCTTAACATACTTTGCATCCTTTTATCTATAATCACATTTTTTTTTTTTTGCATTGTATGGAATCTTTCCTATTACACATAGAGCTTATCTCATTGCTTCTTGTTCATTTAAACTCTTTACTCTTTTGGGCATTGTTGCAAGGTGATATGCATGTGTTTCAGTTCCATAAGGTGGTGGGTTCTAAAGAGGCATTTTTAAATGGCTTAGCCGATACCTGGCAATGTCTTCTTGTATACAATGCTTAATGATGTACATCTTGAAGTTGATGAAAGCAAAGGGATTCTAGAAAATCCCAACACATGTTGGCATGCTTTTATGGTATTGTGTGAAGGAACTATCTAACTTAGGTTGAGTGTACAATATATCATCTGCACCAACTAGTATTTATAATGATTTCTTAAGAGTGTGATGTTTCTGTCTCAAAATAGGTTGGTTTCAGGGTTGGCATATTTTAATATAATAAAATTGGGTGAGGTTTGCAGTTCTGGCATCGGAAACCTTATGATGGTTTGAAAATCTATTTTCATCCATAATTATGAGATTTTAAAAATTCCAAAAATGGTATTGATCGAGTAGGACTGTAAACATGTGAAAATAGATGGTCCAGATTATTTGTTACAAGATGCATTATCTTTACGACTTGAAATTCTTTTTTCTTCTTATCCATATATCTCAAGGTTGAGTTGATCAAATTGGAGTGTTTTCTAATGTTGGAACATTCATCGAGAGGATTTTTTAGTTCACCTTACTTCAATATATAAGGTTGCAACCTTATATAAACTTTGCTCGATAAAATAAAATCTCAATATTATAACCAGTTGCTAGTTAGAAGGTTGCTAGAATAGAACTATGGCAAAAAGAAATCAAGGATTATCTTTCTATGAGGCCTCCCCACATGGCACACCATTTTCGCACCCTGTAAGAGGATGTAAGGATGGGATGCTGATTTCCTTGACTGTGCAAAGTTATCATGAGAGAACATGCTGGAAGTCATGAGAATATCTTGCTGGGGTAGCGCTCATGCATCGAAAATGCAGCCTTCAAAGGAACTGCCTACTTGAAATCCCTTGCTTATGCTAATCGTCAGAATTGGCAATATAGTATAGATGATTTGGAAGCATCTGTTCAAGCAGTGCTCTTCACTTTTATATACGACCAGCATTTGATTCAGATTCCACTAGGTTGAAAACTTCCAAAGTTATACTAACTAGAAATGATGAACATTAATTTGATCTGGAGAGGGAACAGATGAAGAGAGTATTTCACATGGGGCATCACCTAGAATCATAACAGGAGCATTAGTTTTGGGAGAGCTATTGCTACCTTAGAATCACAGAACCATGCAACTAACCATCCAGCACTACATGATGCGAATGAGATTTTTATCCAGGTTATTATGCACCTGATAAACTGTTGATAGCTTGGTGAGGTAGATGTCAATCCTCTATTGATATGTTGAACAAAATTCATTGAGAGGACCTTTCCCCTGTATGAGAGGACCGGGAAGGACGCACCTCTGGTGTACCAGTTATCATACCCATGATAAACATTGGGTAGCCAAGTGCGGAGCGGATAATTGGTAAGCCCACCCCAAGATGAGGGCTTTCCTATTCCTACTTCCTCAAAGCCTCTGGTAGCATGGACGGTACAGTGACGGGTTCTCTATCCCTGTGGGGATGGAGCGACAAAAGTATTGAGAATTCAGGATAAGGTCATGGTGAGGCGAGCTATTTATCATCACAATAGGTGTCAAGTGGAAGTGTACTGATGTATGCAGCTGAGGCATCCTAACAGACCAAGAGATTTCAATCTTGTCCCTAATTACCCAATCAATGTGATTAGTCACACGCCATCTATTTTCATTGTTCAATTGTTTGTGTTTGACAACATGGAAAAACCAAAAGCTCCTACCTCTCTATATATCCAAGGGATGGAAGGGCAGAGGGAGGTTTCCTTTGGTGTCCCTTGCAATCCAAAATTGGGGCCTCACAATCAACAATCACTAGCCAATATGCTTCTCTCATGCCTGTTTTTGTTCATGGTTCGATATTCTGGTGCCCTTGGTATAGAGGAACCAGAACTTGGTGGTTAAACTCTACTGTGGTGACGATACTGTGGGAGAGGTCCTGCAGAAAAATAGCTCGACGCCAGGTTGATAAAAGCTTAACATCTCTTATTCAATGAAAGGTGGTCTTATACAAATCCACAATTAGTAGGATCGGAGGTAGGTGACAATAGTTTGTGGAGTTGTGGTGATACAATCATGATTAATATCCCATACTTTAAAACTCAAGAGAATTTGCCTTGAAATACAAACCTTGAAGATATAGTTGACCAAAGAAAAATGAGTCAAACTAGTGGTATGTCATAGGAATGAAGGTGCAGAAAAAAGTTACAAATGCATTGCAATATGGTTGAGTGCAGTCACATGTGTGGGTCCGAGAGTTCTGATATATCTGAAAGACATTGGCACTATCTTTGATGTTTGAGGTGTTCTCATACTTATTTTGATATGCTTTGATGAACCTATGGCCTAACAAGGGACGAATAAGGCAATTGCTTTGCTGGATTCTGTTTCCTGTGTATTTGTCTTAATGAAGAGTTGAATGAAATTTCCTCTCTTTATTCATTGTAGCATTATCTCTGATATATGTTGCCTAAGACATGTAGTTTTCTCCTATTAACTTGAACCCATATGTTTACTGCATGTCAAACTATAATGGAAATAAAGTAAAAAAAGAGGTTTCTCCATGATGATCTGTTCATGATATTAGGATAGTAACTTTGTCTGTAGATGCATGCACCCAGATGGTTGAGCATGAATATGCACAGTACTTTGTATTCTTTGTGGTGTGGGGTATATTTATTTGTTCCTTCGTAATCCCACTACTTAAAATGCTGAAATCTTGTTGCATGATGCATGGCCAAGATTTGAATACAAAAGCTCTTCTTGCGGAATTTCATGCACGCTCATATATATAAACTGTGGTGCCACCCACATACAAGGATTTGTGGCTAGTATTTCCTATTTGTCCGATCTTGATGTATCAGTTGAGTCACCCGTCACATTTTGCATTTTATTATTCATTTAAAATATAGAATCAAGATGAAATTTCCAAGGTGTGTCATGATGCACTTATAAAAATGGTCAAAACCCTATACAAGTGTCATGATGCACTCTCCAAGTTGTATGTCTCCTGGGAGCATACATGGAGGAAAATCCAACACCCTGGCGGGCACCCTAGCTAACGACGGAGCCCTCAGTAGCACAGCCTGACTTTTGAGATATCGCTGCTTGTTTCCCTGTATTTTTTGTCTATATTACTTGGGTTAACTTATATGATTCCCTGTATTTTGTCTATATTACTTGGGTTAACTTATATGATGTAACCCCATTTTTTGTATAGGGCTACCATTCCTTGGTAAGTCTATTTTTCGGCTGGAGCCACAGGCTTGTGGGTGACCTCTTTGCTTTCTTGTAACCTCTTTTCTTATAAATAGAATAGTTAAACATATTAAAAAAAGAGACGCAATTATAAAAATATAAAAATAACTCGATAAAAATTAAATGATCAAAATACCCTTAAAAGTTTCATGAGTATTTTAGTCATTTTATTTTTTGTAAAATTATTGTGAAAATTATTTTTTTACAGCGTGATGGCAAGAAGTATGTATACCCAAAATTTTGAACACAATGTGATTTAATTTTGAGCACAATGTGATTTATAGAAAAATTAATGAAATTGACCTCCTTAGATGTGCTCGCAATCATCCTGTCAAAGATTGGACAGTTGAGAGCAAAGCATTTTCTAGCTTATTTTGACATTTGGATTGTTGCTGACCTATCCATTCATTTAGATCAGATGGCCAGGAAACACCACGATCTTTTATATTGGGTAGCGCCACAGAGAAAGATTAGCTAGATATATATATGTTATGCATGCTGAAATACTGATTTCAGAATTAATATATTCTATATCTTTTTTTTTAAAAAGTTAATCACGAATTAGAAATTAATGTATTATTTAATAATATGTTTTCCCCGTATGACGTGAACTTGTTTTTCATGATCTTTGGGTTCAACTTTGTAGCACTACTCAACTATGTGGAGGGTCCTCCATTTACTCTCCAAAGGCTTTGCGAGGTGATTCTCATGCATAATTCCACCTTCATTAATCTGAATAGATTACAGATTCGGTGTTCTAACGAATGGAGCCATTTTATTTGTGTTGTCATCATGCAGATCTTGTTAAACCCCCAAAGAATATACCCCAACCTTTCGAAACTTGCTTTAGCACTTGAAAAGGTTCTCTCTCTCTCTCTTTCATTCAAGTGCAACATTAGACATCACCCGGAAATGGAATGGACCCAAGGTCTAGGTGGTTAGGGGTGGTGGGATACAACAGCGTGAAGCCTTGGTTCCATTCCTAGCCGTTACTGTTCAAGAATTTAACATTCAAAATAAAAAGTGCCAAGTCGACCTATTATTTTTTCGGTCTGATACATGTGATTTTTTTCCAACCAGAATCTGTCTGTGACTTCAACCCTAACCATGTGCACCGAACCATACCCCTCCATGGCAAGTCTGAAATTTGAAAGAGTGCAAGAAACCAAACTAGAACACATAGTGGAAGTATCTATTCCAATACAAAATGGAGGTGCAACCATCGTTGGATTTACTGATGAAGAAATGATTGATGCCACAGAAGTTGCCAATGAAGAGAGGTCAGACACAAACCAAAGTGAAATGTCAGAGGAAGTACCCCAGCCAGAAAACACCTTCAACCTTTCAGATAAATCTCTTCCCGCTAGTGAAGATATCAAGAAGAATTTTCCCATTTCTTCAGACGAATCTCTCCCTGCAAGCGAAGAGATAAAGAAGAGTTTTCCTGAGCTACCAGATGAATCCTTTCCTAAAAATGAAGATATCAAGCAGGGTCCAAGCTCTTAATACGAGAGAGAGAGAGAGAGAGAGAGATCCCAGTGCTCCTATTCGCGTTCTTAACTTGGAAAACAATAACTATATAAACAGAAGCCATAAAGCCATATGGAATGCAATTTGTTATAATCATGTAGCTTTATTTAATATACTTTTATTTCTCTGAAAATCACAATGGTATTGTTTTTTTGAGTGTTGCTGGATTACAATGGTCCTTCAAGACCTGCTCAAGTGCTAAATAAAAAGAGCATAAGAATTTTATTTTTGGCAAACTTTCCATCATTAGGGCATAAGAACTCTCCATCATCATACTGGCTTTATACCCCTGATCCTGCCAACCGTCGCCTCGTTGCATTTGAGATGGATACTTGGCCGAGCCTGTCGGCTTCAGATGCAGCTAGTCTTTCCTTTAACGGCATATAGTGCCGGAGCCAAACACCAGTATAGACCTGAAAACATCAAATTAATAAAGAGCTCAGCAACACAAATATGAAACAGGATCATATTTCTCAAAGAAACTCAGGTACAGTAAGTCTCGGTTTTCAGATGAGTTGATCTTAGAACTCACACCTATTTTACTAAAAATCAAATGATCAAATTAAATATTGGGATGCTTTTCAGGAGGTTGGAATACTCCAATTATTCTAGAAGCAGGCTGGATTAATAAGGCAAAAAAAGTGATGCACTTGAGACCCACCCAATATGAATTCTTACTGAAATAAGTTCCGAGGGATCGTAGAGTACACAATGTCTTACTGCAAGGAATTCGAGTAACTTCTACATTCGACATGAAATTCAAATAACGACGAAGAAATGCAGCACGTAAAACTTTTTTAAGTAAATTCGTGGAATGTGAACTTCCAGATTCATCTACAATGCAGCGCAGCCAACATTAACCAGCATTCGTATGTGATTAAACCAAAGCCAATGTCACAATGACATTATGGAATCAATCAATTCTACCTGTTGAGGTCTCATGATCTTTGTATCAGGATCATCAAGAGACTCACGCCAATGGGCCAGGTAACCTGCCATTCGCGGGATTGCAAAGAGGACCGTGAAGAACTCTGGCGGAAAGCCCATGGCCCTGATTCACAAAACTAGTTCTCACGTAAGGAGCTCTTCATTATTCATGGTACACTTTGCATGGCTATAATAGAATGAATGTCATAACATACCTATAGATTAAACCGGAGTAGAAATCAACATTTGGATACAGCTTCCTCTTGATAAAGTAGTCATCTGAAAGGGCAGCTTTCTCCAAAGCTACAGCCACCTGAAAAGCAACACAATTGATGAGTATCTAAAACATAGGAAATTTTGTTCGTTCTCATAGCTGTAAATGGCTTTCACAGAAAAATCCAAGGCTTTCTTTCCAAAAGTGAAATTCATAAACTGATTTTCCGAAAAATGAGTAACGCAGAGTTTGCTTTTTTCAAATTTAACTTGCTTTCTTACCAAAAAAATTTTAAAAAATAAAAAATAAAAAAACTGTCGCATTTAATAAGGTTTTCTAGAAGATACAATAGATACATACCGAATGACATTTGAACTCTCCCAAGTAAACCTTACAAAGTCACAACATAAATTACTTCAATGTAAATGTACATTTTTCACAAATCAATCCTTTGAAGAATCGTAATTTACAAGTGTTATTTAAGATTCAATAAAGCAATATAGAGACTAGAAATGTTATGAATTTATTTATAAAATGAACCATATCAAAACATCAGATATATATTCAATATCTCAAATGCAATCATCAAAAATCTCAATCGACTGGATAAACAATTAACTGTAGTGCAGCATTTATTGAGGAGCTCCATTTTATTTAAAAAAAGGAAAATCTCTTTTTTCCCACTTACAATTTTTTTTTAAAATTTACTTAAATACGATGAAATATATTTTAATACAGCACAGAATTCTACCTCAATTAGAGGATCACGCCCAACAATTGAGAAGACCTCCTCAGACAATTTGCGTATGACCTTAGCCCGAGGATCGTAGTTTTTGTATACACGATGCCCAAAGCCCGACATTTTTCGCTTCCTGCAAAAGAGATTATAAGAGAAAAATGACATTTGAGAAGAACAGAAAAAAAAAATTGGTGAAGGCAAACAATGCATGGTATGCCCCCATGACCAAAAGATACAAGTCAATGAACCCACCTGTTCTTCACACCTTCTATGAACTCCGGAATGTTCTCAACAGTTCCAATCTCGCTAAGCATTTTTAAGACAGCCTGCAGTGCACAAATCAAATCTAGATTCCTGTCAGTCTGTGTGTGTGGAGAGAGAGAGAGAGAGAGCATAAAATAGAAGGATTATTTACATGCCTCATTTGCTCCCCCATGAAGAGGACCATATAATGCTCCAACAGCTCCAGCAAGTGCCGTATAGACATCCACACCACTGCATATACAAAAGCATCACAAGTGCATATAGTTTTGTGGACTGCAGTCCACTGTAAAGCAATAGAAAAAAACCAGGTCCGCAGTGGGAGAGAAGACATTTTGAATTACCTAGAGGCAAGATGTCTTGCAGCAGAAGTAGAGCAGTTCATTTCATGCTCAGCATGGAGTATGAAGAGAATGTCAAGGACTCGGGCTAGTCGAGGATTGGGTTTGTAAGATCTATTACCCCTGCAAGCCACAAAAGCCAACAAGAGGATACCAAGTTCACGTCCATTTGGATTCATAGAGCATTTCCTCAATCAAGCATTAATGGTGCATCTTATTTTTGTACTTGTATTTCTATTTCACTGTGCAGAGAGAGAGAGAGAGAGAGAGAGAGAGAGAGAAAGAGAGATTGCACGCATGAACTTGGACAGTATGGATATTTTATTTTTGATAAATACAGTATCGATATTTATACCAATCCTGAATTTTAAACATATATCTACTTATGTGCAATATATTAACTTGCATGTATATTTAGGCCCAGCATTCATAGAAGCGAATCGTACAACACACACAAGTCAGATTGAGAAAACGTGATATGTTCTCATGCCATCATGTAATATGTGATTTCACTGACATGCCATCAAATGAACTTTTGCTAAAACCATATTTACGAACAACTAATTAGTAATTACAAAGGACAAATTTAAAACACGTGTACAAGCAACTTCACAGGAATGCAAAGGGACATTGAACTCTCAAACAAAATAACAATACACCTCAAATTTATAGTTTTTTACATGCATGATTCTTATGGTAATTATAGAAAACCCTACTACTAAATTTTGACCTTAAAATACCTTCCTTTTTATAACTCTTAATGGGGAGATCGAGGTATTAATTTTAATACCCATGTCAGATAGTAGGAGAGAATCACGGTTGAAAGAATCTACTTTCATATTCAAACTTCATTTGATATGAAATTTACCCCTGTTGCACCTCTCCTAAAATTAGGATTAATACAACTTGAGGGCATTTATGGTTGAGCCATGCTAAAATGAAACCTGATAGAGATTTCAGATAGGTAGGCAAAGGCTCAATTTTTTATTCTAGAAAGTAGTATTATCTTCCTACAAGTTTTGCTTATGTTAACTCTTACATGCTCTAAAATCTTGCTTTTAAAAAAATCACAAGTTCTTACTCCTCACCTTGTCTCCTCCCTTCTTACAAAATCCTTCTTCCCTCCGTCTCCTACAAGCTCTCATCTCCTATTTCTTCAAATCCTCTCTCCTTCTCTCATGCTATTTCTCACGTTGGTTTCCACAATAAACTCATAAATAAAAAGTGTCAAGCAAAACAATAATAGAAATGAACTAAGACTTTCTGGGCCAGAAACCATAAGGTTTTCTTTGGCTCATCTTTGGCATATTTTGCACAAATTTGGGGCCTCCATCAAGATGCAAGGTCAAAAGATTCTCCAAGATCTAACCTGTAGTCACCCCTGCCTCCTGGTCTAATCAAATTATACTTTGATGGTTGGTCTTTGGCAACCTAGGCTCGGCTAGCGTGGGAGGGAATTGACACACCTGATCCCTTACAGTCTTCTTCAGGCCCTATAGGCACTAACTTCACTAAGGTGGAGGCGGTGGCACTGTTGGAGGGCCTGAAATTGTTTAAATGCCGCTGGGGAAATGCTCTTGAGGTAAACATCATTAGTTGGACACTGACGGAGGCTCCCTGTCCCTGACATTTGAAGCAACTGTACAATCGAATTTTTGACATTTCTAGCACCTTAGAAGTTTCTTGCAAGTATGTATGTCACAAGGCTAACGTGGTAGCAGATGGTCAGTAAAAGACAGTGTTGTGAATAATGCTTTGTTATTTCCAGGTCCTTGAAATGAACTGAATGCTTCAGCAAGATCCTGAAAATCGTTTGTTTGTGTTTTTTTTTGTAGTTCCATGCTGGGAACAAATTTTGATATACATAAACATTGTAATCCTTTTACACTATAAGTACAAAGTTTTATACTATATTTACAAAGTCACATTGCAAGTTTAGTAATAATAGGAGTAGAGATGAGGAAGTAGTTAAGATTGACAGCCACGAAGTAAAAAAAAAACTGCATTTTCAATATCCAAGAAAATGGAGAGATTGAGGTAAATGTTGCATACAAAATTAAAGTTGGGTGGACGAAGTGGAGATGTGCAACTATAATTTTATGTGATCGCCACATACCAATGAAGCTGAAGGGCAAGTTCTAAAGGATAGTTGTGAGCCCAGCTTTGGTCTATGAGGCCGAATGTTGGGCGAACAAAAAACAATATACCCATAGAATGAATGTAACGAAGAAGAGGATGTTGAGATGGATGAATGGCAAGACAAAATGGGATAGAATTCGAAATGAATCCCACTCGGGAGAATTTAGGTGTGGCACCAATAAACGATAAGATAAGAGAAAGTAGACTTAGGTGGGTTGGCCATGTGTGGGGCGCCAATCAAGTACAACACCTCTTAGGTGGTGCGAGTTAGTTTAAGTGGAAGTACTGAAAAAGGGCAAGGGGTAAGTCCAAAAAGAGGTGGTTGGAAGTAGTCCAAAAAGATATGGAGACTTATGACCTCACTGAGGGTATGGCCTTTAATAGAGCTAGCAGATCTGAATTCGTGTAGCCGACCCCCAATTATTTCTTGTTGTCATCTGACCTTGGTTGTCACATTTGTGCATGGCACATGCCTGCTCCAAGTGTCAAACAATTCGGGAACTGAAAAGTGACGTTCTTTTCTATTGTTGTCCTTTACTTTGATAAATTTAAGCAGTCCTAGCCTAATTTTAGAGCTTGCAGGAATATATAGTGGTGCTTCAGGCACTTGACATTTTGCAACCACATTGATCTTCTAAAACAATGGTGAGTAGAAATAAAGGATACCGTAATCGAAATGGTTTGAGTTCCTATTTAAGATAAAGGAAGTATAAGTACAAAGAACATAAATATGAACTTGTTTTAGATCAGCTTAGAAGGAAAAAACAGTCATAACTCACAGTGAATCCAACATGTATAAGAAGTTTTCTGAATAGGAAAGATTGCTGGAAGGAAGAACTGGAGGCCTTCCTGCCAATCTCAAATAGGCTGCTGCTGCAATTGTCGGCGCCTGCACATTTGATGCAGATTCATTCATTCATAAACTTTCATGTAAATAGGTTGACTGACCTTGACAACTAGGAATATTAATACTACATACAGCTATCTGACAGTTAAATTTCCAGAAAGAACTTACAGGACTTTGCATAAAATAATTAAAAAACAGATAAAATTATAAAAAAACAATTGCAGTTCAAAAGAATACCTTTCCAAGTAAGCGTGCTATCTGCTTGTCCCTGATCGCCTTTGACTGGTAAAGATCCTGACCCTGCGATAGTGAAGCCAGACCAGAAAATATTATATGAATGCATGAATATGCATTGCCGGGACTCAGGACATATAATTGAACGTCAAAACAAGGAAATTTGAACAACTTCCATGACCAAGAAAAGTTTATATAAACAACGAGGACTTATCAGACCATACAACAATGCATGAAAGAGAAAACAAAGAAACAAATATTAAATGCGAGGACCTTAACAGGCACTAGGCAAGGTAACTTACGAATAACTTCATCATTCCCCCTACTTTCATCTCAAAGAGGGCTCGAGAAAAGTTATCAATCAGTAGAGTATTTGACCAGGACAGGGAAGGGATGAAAAACAGGATGTGCATATCTTACTGTCGACCTAGAGGAGGAACTTCGAGAGACTGTAAAACTTTTGCCTAGAATGGAAGTGTACATCGGTTTGATAAGAACAGAGTGCCATTCATATTCATAATCAGCCATAAACATGGAAAATTGGCAAAACACATGCCCCAATCACTCCATGTCAAGAAGCAAAAAAGGTCAACTCCAAGGGAAAGCTGAAACAACAGGATTCATCTCGGAAAAACCAATGGAGGAGAAGCAAACACTGGAGATAGCTCAAAAGGAGGCCAGCAATGTGCAAATGGAGCACTCTTATTCCTGCCCCAAAGATAAAAACACAGAAAACCAAGTGGAGGGAAAAGCGTTCCAGGCAGGGACATTGTGGTTAGCTTGGTTTGCAGAAGAGGGAAATTCCAAATGTTTGAAAACATCACTTCATGCAATCAGGCATTTTACCACAGGCCAACCGCCATAGAACATTGGGTCAAAGTCGAGGGACTGAAGAATTTCGCGTAGATTAGTCATTATAGTCATTCTCTGAAGGAAGATTGCTTTTACAATATATGTTTCATTATAATAAGCACAGAGATTCATATTGCATTCCTCACACATCTACCACGTTTGAAGGATCTTGGAGAGGCACAAATCGCTGGACAGAAAAATAAACAAATTGGATGGATGATAGCATTGTATTAATGCCTTAAAAAAAACATCTTACAGATTTCCCAATATGTTGATTTTATCAAGTGTAGAGCAGCAGTTACCACAAAAAAATAAAAAAATAAAAAAGAAAAACATCTATGTCAATCAAAGGTCAAAATGTACTTGAGAATGATAATTTTTCAATATGTAGCCTTTGCTGAAACCAAATGTGTTATCCTCCAATGTTTCCTAAACTTGAAGGAGAAGACGTTCAGGTTGCTGCCTAAAAACCCCAGATAAATTCTCCCTCATGCACCATTGTTAACAAAATGGATTTTAACTTATTACATGATGAACCAAATGCTATTGGAAGTCAGTCATCTGAAGAAGATACAAGTATTGCACATGACAGCATGATAAAGAGTTACAGTTCCTCAAATCCTAAACTCCCTTCAACCGTTCCCCTGGCCTAAATCAGGCATTTTATCATGGAAGTCCCCAATGGCTGCCACTATTTGGGCTTTATGAATCGAGCGCAACAATAGGATTTTCCGGGCGAATACTCATCGCGGTCAGGCATCTTTGTCAAGATCAAATCTTCGGTTGTTTTCTGGGCAACCAACGACAAAAGCTTCAAAGGAGTACCAAATTCGACCATCTATCAGAATTGGGAAGCTATTCTTCTTTTAGTCAAAAGTGCCTACCTCGGGCGTCCCTGTGGAGACCTCCCAACCCGGGTCAAGTTAAGCTCAACTTCGACGGATGCTCCTTTGGGAAACCAGGACCAGCGGGAATTGGAGCCATCCTCAGGGACCACTATGGTTCCACCCTCGCTTCTATATCAAAACATATTGGTCATGCCAACTCAATGGCAGTGGAAGCTTTGGCACTACTAGAGGGCGTCAGGCTTCTCGATCCTCACCAGAACGTCTCCATTGTCATAGAAGGAGATTCAGAGAATGTTATTGCATGGGCATCAAACTCATCCCTAATGTGTAGACCACTCTAGGGAGTAAGAATTGACAGTACTCCACGTCATATTTAAAAAGGAAGACGATTGAATTTGAAATAGAACGCATGCATCTACAGCAACCAAATAGTAGTATGATGAGCACCACTCAGTTCGATCCCAGCGAATCTAAGAATAAACTTTGTATACCATAACAGAATGAAAATTATGAGCGTCAATCATTATATCATCCGAGTTCTCGAAAGAAGTAGAGGTTGTGGGATTCAATTAAGTTTCTAGATTGCTATTAGTGCTTAAACTTAAAAAAAATTCCATTCAACTCAATGATAAGAAACTGCTTATAAACTAGTTGTTCACAATGAAATAGACAAGTAGAGATGCATGCACAAGATTTAAAATAAAATTGGGTCATAGAATAAAGGACTCCACAGGATAGTTAATTAGGAGTTATTCATGAACAAAAAGGTTATTGGCTTACTTGTTTAGCAAATTAATTAGTTTACCAGATCAACTCCAGACTTTATAAGCCAATCCGCATTCCCCTATGGGAAGTCCTAACTCAACACTGAGTTTTGTAATCTTAGTTTCTACTTATCACAACTTGATCCATCCATAACAGGCAATGCCATAATTTTTTTCTCTTGAGAATCATACTTATGGAAATAATACCAGCTACACAACAGGCAGTTCTACCATGGTTTGAGTAACTGGTGTGAAAGACATCATTCAAAACAAGCTCGTAGAAAATTAAAACCAATTAGCTAATATCACTTACTTACCCTCAAGGCTGGATTGGCATCAGGATGGAACACGGATAGAGTGCTCATAGCACAGACAAGCACACCCATAGGGTGTGCATCATGAGGCATTGCCTGTATGATATCCTACAAGAGAAGAATTATACATAATCAGCGGCATAAGAATACAACCACGAATTTTGTGTATCTTAATAGGCTACGGGAATTTACTAATTAAGAGGATGTAACAAGCAAAACATTCATAGGCACAATGCAGCCTCAACCAAAGGATTAAAGAAACACAGTTTATCAAATTTCCCCTCCTTTACAATGTAATGACAAAATGACTAAAAACAACCAAATCTAAAATTCAACAATAAAACTAATAAGAATACCCTCAAAATGTATGTTCTCTAACTTTTCAAGATCAGGCGAGAATTGCTATCATCTAAATCCCGACCCCCAGGGGAGGGAGGGTTGTTTCAGAGTGCAAACAACATCTCTTGAGAACTTGCATATGAACATTTAAAAGCACCAATCAGTGTCGGGAGCAAGATGAGCTAGCTTATGTAAGCAATTATTCGAGCCCGTAGGACACAAGGCAACCAGGGAGAAGAGTAGATCGTCTTTTTTTTTCCCTTTTTTTTTTTTTTTGTTGTGGGAGTAAGAGTAGAATGTCAAAATTTTGATGCTTCATATCTAATTAGCAAAAGCATGAACTCACCAGAATTCCTTGAGGAACTGCTGAATGTTGTGAAATTGCAAATTCCCAGTCTGCTAATTGGTTTTGGGAAGGCAAGTTTCCATACACTAAAACACAAGGATTGCATTAGATGCTTTCGGGATGCCTTAATCCAAGATTCTCAGAATAATTCAGAATATACAAGAAACCTGAAAAGAAGAGGCAGCTGCTATGCACAACATCACCATATACAAAAAATATAGTAACTTACTCAAAAGATAGGCAACCTCTAGATATGTGCTGCTTTCAGCTAATTCCTCAATAGGGTATCCTCTGTATCTAAGAATCCCTTCATCTCCATCGATATAAGATATAGCAGAACGTACAGGTGCTGTATTCAGATAGCCGGGATCATAAAGTTTGAGACCTTTGTCATACTTGCCAGTAGTCAGCTATATTTGCAACATGCAAGAGTACATTAGAATTCCATGGCAGTATAAAAATGAAAATAATGAATGTCACTAACATGCTACTCATAAGTCCAGCTAAATAAGAACATATTGAACATGTGCAATGCGAGAGTAGGCTTTCTGAAAAGGAGTGCATATCTTAACTGTTACTTGGTCAGCAAGGACAGCTTATCCTGATCTTCAAGATGCACATACTTACAAAATAAACTTTTAGAATACCATAGGATTGATATGATGAGAGGATAATTTCCTCAGAAATATTGCAACATATAAGACAGCTCAGCATTAATTAAGACTATATAAAGAAAAAAACTAAATGTGACATACAAGAGATTATATATTGAGCAGAAACAATGCAGAAAGTAAAAATATCCTGAAAAACAATGACTTCATATCACCCAAAAGTTTTTGCTTTTTCTGTTGATTAGTTGGGCACATGTTTTTTCTAACGCTGACAAGCCAGGTTCCAAGCCCAAGTCCGTCACAAAATGAGCCAAGTATTAGGTCTGACTAGGCTGATTTTGCCTAAAAATCACAAAGGGTACCATGGGATAAGGAGACTCGCCCAATTTTTTAGCTTCTTCTTCCAGATCCCTCCAGGATCACTAGGGTCCCAATCCGGTCCAACTCGGGAAAGCCGAGTCAGCCTAGCAAGTTGTTAATCACTTATTTTAATTTGTACCTTTGTATAAATCAGAGTAGCTAAAGTATGGCACTCCTGATTATTCTCACACAAACCTGTAGTTCGGATAATGGCTGCTATTTCAAGAAGAAAGAGAGAGAGAGAGAGAGAGAGAGAGAGAGAGAGCAAAGGAGTGGGATCTACTGTAAGGAAAACATTGCACTAGGGTCATTTGTGAAGGTTTAATATAGTTTCTATTTTCCTTATTGATTGCATGATGTATAAGAGTAAAATTCAATGTTTTTTAAGTTGCCTCAGGCCACTTGGCTCTGGCCCAAGGCGAGTAACAAAAATCAAATAAAATTGTAAAAGATAAATAAAATCAAAGGCAACAGAAAAACTCCAAAAAAGCTAGATCTAGAAAACATTGATTTATGGTTGGAGGCATTTTAGAAAAATCCCAAAAAAATAAAAAAATAAAAAATTATATATATATATATAGATATATAAATCTAGGTCTACATGAAAAGAAAAACTCATTAAGTGTAAAAAAATCTACTTACCCAAAGATATTGTAAAAAAATCCAAATTAAATGGACAATATTTATCCATTGCTTCCACAATTTTTTAAAAATTTAAGACGCCACTCAACCGAGTTCTATTCGTGGTTTCTCTTGGCTTTACGGCTCATCCAGGGTTCAATCTTGGTAAAAATGTTACAGAAAGAAAAATTCTAGGATGAATGCTTCTAGGATGAAATTTGGAATATATATTAACGATCAAAGGAAAGAAGAAAGTATAGAGAAATATTGGAACATGAACACAGCTTGAACTAGATCATAAAACAACTCACAAACATTATACATGAAAAAACTGCAAAAGAAATTTAACAAAATACATAGTAAACAACCAAGTCCAAAATCTAATCAAAATAGCCCAAGAAGCTGACGGGTTTATCTAAATAAAGCAGCAAAACAATAAAGATCAAAATCAGTACAAGTTTGAATCTAGTGCAATTAGGCCACGAAACATTACAAAAGCATCTCAAAAAAGTCAGTGCAAAACTCAATCAACTTATATAGCACCCATGAATGGCTTGTCCTTTACCTTCTTGAAATCAGTAGCTTTTATAGCTCCTTCCTCAGAAACCTCAATTTCAACCTTTTTGCCCGTTCGGTTATCGATAACAGTAAGGGTTCCTCTCAGATTACCAGGTGGAGGCACGCTCTCTTGAGCAGATGCAACAGAAGCTCCCACATGAGAACAAGAAAATCCACCTTTGCCAGGAGCCAAATGCCGAGAAATAACTGCTAATCTTCCATTAGCTATAGCGTGGTTGGGATTTTCCATATGTGGCAACACAAAATAGATCCTGAAACTGAAAAGTAAGGAGAATAGGAAATGGAAGTTGCATCAAGAACTATTTCCAGTCACATAAACAAGAATCTGACGGCACTAGCTGTAGTAGAATGATCAATGGAAGATATTTATTTCATCTGACACATAAAAATAGAAGAATATTCATATTCTACAAAGGAAATAAACCAGAAAAATGTGATGATGCGTGGGCTCTTGAATCTAAAAAAAAAATTACCTACGACATTGAAAGAAGCAAAGCTAAAAGTTACCATTTGAGTAACATTTGAGAACATCGAAATCACATAATCAGAATTGGAAACTCCAACCAAAACAAGTTTGTGATCAATAGAAAAACTGCTAAGACTTACGCAAAACAAGGAATAACGACTGAGCTACAGCTGAAGCGCAATGATCAAATCTTTCAAATTTCAACAACACTTCAAAAAAACGGAGAATCATCAAACTCTAAAACTAAAACTAATAGTAAAAATCAGAAAAAGACAACCCTTTTCTCCTCTTGTAAATCAATCAATCAACCCTTTCCATTCGCCAAAATAATTCACTTCCAAAGAATCATAAAAATCTTGAAACTAGAAGCAAACCAGAAATAAGCTTGCAAGTAGTCTCCGAGTCGACAAGCCACCCCCTACTGATTAAAATCTGCCATTTCCATTAATAATTTGAAACCCTGGAAACAGAATTCCAGTAGAGCATTGAAATTTGAAACCCTAGAACCGAAGAATCACAAAATCCTTAAAATTTGAAAACCATAACCAGTCAAGCAATCTAAAATTATAAATTAGGGTTTATGAAGCAGAGAAAAAAGTACCTTTTATGAGGGGTCTACCTCCTCTTATGGATATGCAGTTATGGTAAAAGGTGTAAAGAGCTCTGCTTGCTTTTTATGGCGATTTTCGGCTGCTAGTCTATGCAGATGCTGACGTGGCAGTTGTTTGATCTTGAATCAGTTTTTGTGGGGGCACCACGCTGATGTGAACTGCGCGCAATAATAATATATTACTATCATTGGGATACGCAATCACCAGGTCATCTTTATCGGTTCGAGGAGTAAGCATTAGGCGGTTCGGGTGGCAACGAGTCGGGTCTCGACCCGAATAGGTTTTGGACCCGACTTTTTAGGTCAGAATTTTGGTCGGGGTCTTTGATCCGGTCTATTGCCACTCTAAAATTATGAGGTTTTTTTTTTTTGGCACAATATTTATGAATACGCACGTATACTCCTATTCCTTACTATTTTACGTATTAACTAGAAATACTCATGAAACAAATATATTGGCAACATTTATAAATACCCACATATAGGTTGGATCCGGGTCGAGTCAGCCTGGACTTGGACCCAACTTTTTGGATCCAAAATTTGGACCCATAGTTAGACCCAACCTTTTGGAACCAAAATTTGAACCCATACTTGGACCCAAGGTCAAGTCTACCCAGTTGATCTGGTCGGTCTCATTGAATACTGAAAATCTATACCGAAAGCATCAATTTATTTCCAGGAACCAAACTTTAGTGTTGATTTTGGATTTCATGTCCAAGACCAGAGTCACCTAACCAGAAAACTTAGTTAAAATTTTACCTTGATTAAACATAACTTTACCCAAGTCACTTGAAACCTATGGAATATCCAATTCAATCTTGTACCAAATGCAGCACGACATAACTTGTATCTTGTGTTGTAATTATAACACCATGCCTTAAAGAAATGCGTGGAACCTTTCAAAAACTTTGAAAGTCAGTTCGTACATGATTTTGTGTTTTTGGTGATAAAATAGTGGCTATATGCCCTGCCTTTAGGCTATAAATAAAGGAAATTTGTTTCGTGAGAAAGCGGGGCACAAGAGCCCGCTGACAGACAAATGTCCATTCTAAAGATGGACGTTATCTAAAGTGTATTGTACACAAATAAGATATGAATGGTGCATAAATCAATACTAAAGTTATATTTTTAATTTTTAAATATACCTTTTCATATTTATGATCATCTTAGCCTAGATGATAAATATATATATATAAAAAAAAATCATCTAAAATAAATTTTAGTGGGGGGCCTCATATGCAGATTCATACATATGAATCGGCCAACTCATAGAATCCCCATCCATAAATAAACCCTCAACTCATAGAATCCCCATCCATAAATAAACCCTCTTGCATCCTAGTTGAAGAGGCCACAACCCCTGCTCTATACCTCAAAGCTTTTGGCATGATTCCCAAGGTCCCTCTTCTCTAAAACTTTCCTATTCCTAAAGTACCACAAGGAAATCCTCTTAGTTTTACCCTGTAGTTTAAAAAATGGATCGATGTCCCAGACCGGGCACTTCAAAAACTTATATGGATAAGTGAATCAGCTATTTGGATTGGGAATCGGCCGAATCGGTCGGATTCAGCCTTAAAAAAATCCAAAAAAATATTAAAATTAATTATAAATGTTGTTTTTTAAGAATCCAATAAGAAATAGGGTATTCCATTAAAAACTTTCACTTTTTGCATCAATATGTAAATATTGAGATGTTCTTTAACAACTAAATTTACATCACGCAAAAGGTGAAGCATATAATTATCATGAATAAAGTATATATCTCTAAAAATAGTATCACTTTAGTTTTTAAAAGTAATTAGAAATGATGCATATGTATGTCCATTACTTTGTAAAAATAGGCGAACACTTTTTTTTTTTGATCTGGATATCTGTATAATTATTAATTATAACATAGTATCATAATATTATAAATAAATAAAAAATTCCCATATAAAGTGAAATTTAGAATCATGTCAAAGTATTAAATATTTATTAATTCTCTTTACTCGTCCAAAATTATCACAACCTACCTAACTATAATATTATATAATGAAATTGAAATTGTTGATTTATATTTTATAATTATTTTACAATACAAATAAGAACAAATCTAAAATGTCATATAATATCATCTAATTTAATCAATTTATTTACAACTATAAGAAAAATAATACATTATATAATTTATAATATAAATAAAGTAATAAATAAAATACGAGATTTGGTTATCAATATATAATTATTAATTATAATATTATAGTAAAAATGATTAAAAAAATTATTAGAAAATGCTTCTATATCATATGATTAAAATTAAAAATAAAACCCCTAATAAATTCTAATTTTATGATATTTAAAATTCAAAAACAATTTATGCAATAAAATGAAAATAAAGATATCAAAAAAAAAAAAAAACCTATCGACAACATGCACAATAGTTACAAATAAAAATAAAAATAAAAATACATATGGAAATAAAATCTACTGAAAAAACCGTTTTATTAATAAATAGCAAATACTTTTATATGGTAGTTTTTAAATTTGGTACTCTAATTAATTCATTTAATTAGAGAATATATTGATGATGCTCATTGAATATGACGGTGTAATTTGAGAACATGATATAGTAAGATTTATAAATTAATTGACACACTCATTAATATTATTAAATTAATTGATATGCTCATTAATTTATTTCTATAATATGATTAAAAAGCAAAACCCCTCATAAATTTTAATATTATGATACTAAAAAAAATTTAAAAAAAAATACCTTGAAAATTAGAAAATAAACATATTTTAAAAAAAATGGCATGTTCATTCCCCTAAGTTGCCCCACTCTGTTTATTGTTGTTTGGAAATAATAATAATTAAAAAAAGTTCTATGGAGTAGAAAACAAGCTAGAGAGAGAACCATTTTGTAGCATATTATGTGGTTATGGACCATCAAAATGGTTATTAAAAGCCCCAATGTAGCCCTAACCTTCGTCCCATCTCATTCTCTCTCATCTCTCTCTCTGTAACCCCACACGACGTTAGTCCTAATAAGAGCATGTCTAATGGTACAGTTGGTATTTTATCTTTTCAGTAGATTGATAAAGAAATTTACCAAATGTCATTGCAAATGAGTGGCGATAAGTGAGAGAGAGGTGGGAGGTAAATTCCTGAAGGGTTTTGAGAAAGCATCTTCACCCGCTGACCCAAAGTTCTACAACAGCTCCCCAACGCATGAATTGTCCCACATCTAACAATACGAGGATAAATTTGGCATATAAAATCCAGGACCTTCAGCGTCGTTGGCTTTTTGGGGAGACTCGTACAACGATGACGAACCCTTGTCCAAAGGAAAGAAACATAGGGTGCAAGTTGTTCAGGTTTTTTATGTGTTTGACACGATGAAATTGGGGTCCCTTGTCTGTCATTACGACAGTTCTTATTGTAAATTAATTTGGAATTATATCTCCGAAATTTGGTACTTTATATGTATTTGGGATTCTAGATCCCTGAAGATGATTCTTGTATTTGGGATTCTAGATCACTCAAGATGTTTCTTTCTTGTGTTTCGGATTCTAGATCACTCAAGATGATTCTTGTTTCGGATTTGGGTGATTTGATTTTTTGTGGGTACATTTCGGATCGGAGCAATGGCCATCGGAACAATATCTCTGAAATTTGGTTCTTACATATCCTGATGTATTTCGTATTCCGATATTCTAGATCACTCTAGATGATTCTTATTTCGAATCGGGTGATTTGATTTTTTGTGGGTACATTTCGGATCGGAGCAATGGCTGCCGACGTGTGCAAAGGGAGGGCATGTGATGGAAACGATGAAGTTGGGGTCCTACGAGTACGACGACTCTTATTATAAATTAATTTGGAAAAATCTGGTTCTTACGGACCTCGGTGTGTTTCGAGATTTGGATCACTTAGACGATTTTTGTTTCGAATCGGGTGATTTGATTTTTTTGTGGGTACCAATGATGTTGGTTGTTGACTTTGTGGGGAGGCTGACAGCAATGGCAGCTGACGTGTGCAGACGGACGGCCCAGGGTACCAATGATATTGTCGTGTGATGACAGGGCCCGGGGTACAAATGATGTTGTATGTGATGGAAAAGTTGAAGTTGGGGGGCCTACGAGTACGGTGACTCTTATTATAAATTAATTTGGAAAAATCGGGTTCTTACGGATCCCAATATATTTCGAGATTCGGATTGCTCTAGACAATTTTCGTTCCGGATCGAGTGATTTGATTTATTGTGGGTACCAATGATATTAGTCGTTGACTTTGTGGGGAGGTTAATAGCAATGGCTGCCAACGTGTGCATAGGGAGGGCCCAGGGTACCACAACAATGACGGCCAACGTGTGCAGAAGGAGGGCCCGGGTACCAATGATGTTGTTGTGTGATGATAGGGCCCAAGGTACAAATGACGTTATTATGTGATTGAAACGATGAATGGGAGGGCCAGGGTTATTAATGATGTTGTATGAGATGGAAACGATAAAGTTAGGGGATCTATGAGTACGATGACTCTTATTATAAATTAATTCGGAAAAATCCAGTTCTTACGGATCCTGATATATTTTGGGATTCGGATCTCTTTAGACGATTTTCATTCTGGATCAGGTGATTTGATTTTTTAAACACTTGTTTTACCGATACGACTCTTATTGTAAATTAATTTGGAAAAATCTGGTTCTTACGGATCCCGATATATTTCGGGATCCGAGTCGCTCTAGACAATTTTCTTTCCGAATCGGTTGATTTGATTGTTTAAGCACTGGTTTTACCTAGTCGAAGCTATCAAATTTTAGGCCTTCAAAAACACTACCCCCCATCTAGGCTTCATATCACCCATACACCATAACTCATCCTTCACATACACCTAGGTATATCTATATCCATCCGATATTATAAAAGCACGCTTTGATTTGATCTCAACTGCTCTCATACGATCACCCCCCTAGACCAAAAAGACGTTAACTTCAACTTGG